ACTAGGGAACTCCCCAAGTCAACAAGAACAAAAAATAGCAAGACAGGAATCAAACGGGCAAGGCAAGACAAAACAAGAAGCAAGACAACAAATGTTGCTTTGTTCATCACCAATTCTCATGCAACTTTTTTATTTCTGCCTATCAAACCAAATTTTTTTGGATCAATTCTCCTTTACTAATTATTCTTGTGTTAATTGCTTCAGCTTCTTTCCCCAAATTTGCTTATTTATACCAGCTACATCACTCCTTTACCATCACTCTACCATTTTGATAATAAAATAATCTATTATTGTCAGCAGTTTATGACAATTTTCCATTCTTTTGGTCATGTATTTTCTGCCTATAATCGTATTTCTTTCTATCTATCTCTTTTCTCTTCTAATCGGCTCCTTTGTAGTTTTTTTACTGTATTATTACGTTTGTTTAATCGTTTCCATCTAGTAAGGAGGAGTTAGAGATAATTTTAAATAAAATGGATTGTCATACATACGGTACTGACAAAACAGTACTGTACGAAAATAAATAAAAGTAAAACAAAAATACTAGCATGCAAGGGAAGAAGAAATAGGGAAAAAGCGAATATAAAGATAGGAGACGAAAAATTAGAAGTCAGATATGTCAGGACAGAAGGTGTAGTAGAGATATAAAGTAGAGCGCAGGGTCGTGTCGCCTTCAATAAAAAGGAGTCACGTCTATGCTCGCGAACAGTTAATTTAGAAATTCGAAAAAGGTTGTGAAAAATATATGTTTTGAACGCGGCGTCGTACGGGTGCGAAATATGGACAGTGGGCACGGCGGAAAAGAAAAGGTTAGAAAACTTTACTTTAACATTTCTAATACGTATGTTAGTGCTCTGGTACTTCCAAAATGGACTTTAATTTTTAATTTTAATTTCAGCCGCAGTTAATAAAAGGAAGAGATTCTCAATTGGACCGTAGTTTTTTTTGTTTGCGTGCATGCTACACAGTTTATTTGCGATTTCAATGGTTCTTTTTTTATAGGATAGGTTATACCTAAATACTTTGTTAGAATACAGCAATTATGTAAGACAAACTGGTAGATCCTTCAATCAAAGAATTCCATAACTCAGTGAAGCACTAAACAGTGAAAAGCCAATTCAACCTATGTCTATTTAAAATAAGCAAAAATTTAATAATAACTTCAGAATTTTAATGGCTTCAATAAATTTATGATTAGCGGAAAGTGTATTCAAAAACAAATGTCACAAATTAAATATTTTAGATTTGTATACTTAATTTTACTTATTTGCAGCAATTCTATTCGTTCCAGATAAAACTGTAGTGCTTAGTGCTGTACTTAGACATTGAAAATGGTACAATGGGGACTAGATAGTTATTTTCTCCAAAAAATTAAGCTCAATCGGGAAATTCCAAAAAATACATAAAGGTTGCTATTTCGCCAAAAAATATCTCTGTATACTTTAGGAAATTTTTCTAATGAATTATTTAAATAAAAACTAATATTACTTGAAAATCTCGTT